GCTGCTGCGCAATCCGCTGGCTGGCTGGCACTCATGCTCTCACGGGCGAGTAGGAGGGAGCACGCAGCCATAGCCAAGCTGCGCTGCTGTATGCTAGGTGAAGCGCAGGGTGGTCCTTGGGGTGCTAGTGGCATCTGTGCGGTGTGGATCGGGGTTGTGAGTGTTACGAGACATACCTGGTGCTGAAGCGTGCGACATTGGTCGCCATATGCTCGTACTTTGGGAACGCTGTTGATGTCATCATTTTGCTTCGTAGTATAGGCTAGATAGGATCTGCCACCTGTAGTCTGGGCGCCGAGCGCCAATAGGATATCAACTCTGGTTCGTAGTTGATGATGATGGGACTACTTCAGCATTGTCAATTTTGAACTCTTGGTGTGTTCTTATTTGGTGTATCTCGTGATGCAAGTCTGCTGTGGTTCGAGGTCAAGACTATCTGGGCTCATATGTATGATGCTGTTTGATTGCTGAAGTTCGCTAATGCTCATCTTCCTTGCACGTGTCACACAAGTGAGAGCAGAAACGAGGAGGACGAAGACCAGGAGGAGGACGAGAAGGTGCGAGATGATGAAGCTGCGAGGAGGTGGAAAAGAAAAGAGGAGGAAACAGAGGAGCCGGAGAAGGAGCGAGAGAGGAGGAGCGGGAGAACGAACGGGGAAGGAGCGGGAGTGGGGCTATGGCACGGGAAGAGGAGTGGCAGAAGGAGGGGGAGGAGGAACGGGGGGAAGAGCAGGAGAAGGAGGAGAGGGAGGAGGAATAGGAGAAGGAGGAGAGGGAGGAGGAGAAGGAGGAGCGGGAGCGGGGCTATGGCGGGATCTTTGTCATGCTGTTTGGCGGAGGAGGAGCGAGAGGAGGAGGGGGAGGAGGAGGAGGAGTGCGAGAAGCGGGAGGAGCGGTAGGAGGAGTGGGAGAAGGAGCAGGGAAGGAGCGGGAGCGGGGCTATGGCGCGGGAGTAGGAGCAGGAGAAGGAGGGGGAGGAGGAACAGAGGGAAGAGCAGGAGAAGCAGTGGGAGAAGGAGGGGCGGCAGGAGGAGTGGGAGGAGCAGCAAGAGGGGGAGCGGGAGAAGGAGAGGGAGGAGGAGCGGGAGAAGGAGCGGGAGCGGGGCTATGGCGGGATCTGTATCAAGTTGTTTGGCGGAGGAGTGGGAGGAGCAGGAGAAGGAGCAGGAGGAGTGGGAGAAGGAGCGGGAGAAGGAGTGCGAGGGGAAACAGTTAGTGGTTGCATCTGACAGCTCCTTAGTCCATACTCACACCAGGATTTCTTTTTCCGATGTTTTTGCAGAAGGTTCCTTCTCATTTTGCACATTGGCAGGCTGCTCAGTTGATGCACACATGAAACTGTTGAGTTGGCCGTGCCTGGCCGCACGCGCATGTGTGTGTGTCAGAGACAGACAGAGAGAGCGAG